TGACAATCAAGTATGACCTCTTGCTAGAATGATGTGCATTTCAGCATTAATTCTGCATCAACATCAATTCTAATCATCAGCTCACCATCTATTTTTTTAATCTGAGAAACTTTGATTCCATAAATAAGTAAATGAAAACAAGATTTTGATAATAAAGATAGCATCTAATTCCATGTTACATGCCAAAAATTCATATAAAGACCTATAAGCCATTTGCAGACTGTGAGGAGAGAGAACAGTGACTGCACCAGCAAACAAGCCCAGTCTAGGAACCAGCACCATGTGTGGGCTGCTGCCAGACTGGGAACGGCCATATTCCAGCCCCTTCTGGGTGCAGGCTGGCAAATAAGAAGTACTAGCCCGCAGCCCCCATAGCTGACCAGCTTACCCAGAGAAACACCGGCTGTGATGATAGCTGTGGGGGTGAAATGCAATTGGATGCCTGTGTGCTTTGCTGTTTCACTAACATTGCAGGTCTAGGGCCAGTGGTCTGATCATGGGTTCAGAGTTTAGCAGTACCCAACGTGGCCTCTAGGGAGGGATCTCCTTCTGAGGGTTTCAGCCATTGTTGACTTCTTACGCTTTTCTGTTGAGATCTTACATCATTTCCATTGTTTTTGTTGGGTTTTATTCTCTTTTGTTTTGATTATGTTAAATCTGATGGCAGGAGAAGCTTTTTCAAGGATAGCAAGATATATTGTTGCAGCAATTTTGGATTACTATTGGCTTGTTTGAAATCCTTTATTGCATTTATTGTTTTGTTTTTATTGTTTCTATTCTGTTCTGTTCTGTTTGATTTTTACTATGTCCAAAGTTATCTGCAGCTATCTTGAAGACATCAAAAGGTATTATGGTAACTATTGTTAATTTCATGATGTTTTAAAGTCCTATATCCCTTACACTGATTTGTTTTGATTGGTTTTATTCTGTTTTATCCTCTTTAAAATTAAAAAAAAAATCTAGTACAACCAATATTGAAGCTGGGCAGGGGGTACGTGCCTGTAATCCCAGCATTCTGGGATGCTGAGGCAGATGATAATAAATTCAAGCCCATCTGGGCAATTTAGTGATTTAAGGAGACCATGTCTCAAAATAAGAAGAGGGCTAGGGATGTACTGTGGTTGAGTGGAGGGTAATTTATCAGCTAATTTGATCAAATTCATCCTGTTCTTAACAGTTTTATTGAGATAGTACAGTATTTACATACAGTTTATTTATTTTGATCTTTTTGAGATGGGGTTTTGCTATGCAGTTTATTCTAGCTTTGAACTCACTTTGTGGTTCAGGCTGGCCTCGAACTTGCAACTGTCCTCAGCATCTGAGTTTTGGGATTCCAGGTGTGTGCCAACATGCCCACCCTAATTCATTTTTTTGTTTGTTTTTTGAGACAGGGTCTCACTATGTAGTTCAGGCTGGGCTTGCCCAGGCTAGTCTCAAACTCTAGGCAGTCCTCATGTCTCAGCATCTCGAGTGCTAGGATTACAAGTGTGCACCACCACACTTGGCCCATTCAGTTCATCTCTGTAAAGAATATAGTTTGGTGGGTTTCAGTGTATTGAGTTGTTCAGCCATCCCCATTCTGTCATTGTAAAACATGGTGTCAGGTCCTTTTAATCTCTCAGTATTGAGGGTTGAACTCAGAGCTTTCCCTCGGAGGTACATAGCTAGCCCTTTTTAAATTGTTTTAATTTTGACATATAGTCTTAGGCTGGACTTGAACTTGTGATCTTCCTTCCTCAGCCTCCCAGACCAACAGCCCATGTATTACATTTTTTAATAATAATTTGTTGGATAAGCCATATTACAAGGCTGATCAAAAATATGGTGTGGGTTTAAATTTTAAAATTTGCCAAGTCCTGTGGTGGCTCCACTGTAAACCCAGCATTTGAGAGGCAGAGGCAAGAGGATCCCTACAAGTTGGACACCAACCTGGGCTGCATAGTGAGTAGTGAGTTCAAGGCCAACCTAAACTACATAGTGAGACTATGCTCCAAAGAAAATCATTACAATAAAAGATACATTGCTATTAACCCCTGCCTCATTCCCCATCACTTGAAACATACTTGTTCAGTCATTCTTGCTACTTTTTTTTTTTTTTTTAATATTTTGAAGCAGGGTTTTGTTATGTATCCCAGGCTGGACTTGAACTTCTGGTGATCTTTCTGCCTCAGTCTCTCAAATGCTGTGGGATCACAGGGAGGGCCATGATGCCCAACTTCATACCTGTTTTTTTTTTTGTCTTTTTCCTTTTTATCGGTACCAGGGATCGAACTCACGACTGCCTGCTTGCAAGGCAGGCGCTTATGCCGCTGAGCTAAACCTCCAGCCCCTTCATACCTGTTTTTGAAGCAGCTCTGGAAGTCTTCTTTCATGAATGTCTTTATTGCACTATCACGACTCCTGTGATGTCCTGAATTGATTAAAAACGCTTACCTTTAATAGTCATTGTGACTTTGGGGAAAGACGCCGCGCAGTACTAGATGTGGTGAGGAAGGTAGATGAAGACATACTGTAATGTGTTAAGTAGAAATTGCCGTAATGTTTGGAGTCCATTTGGGACATTGAGGCAGCCATGACAGCATAACAGACAAAAGAGAACTTTCAGAACTGGTTCAGAAGATGGCCAGGATGATGGAATGTGTGTGATTTTTTCTTTTCTTCTTTTCTTTTTTCTTTCTGAGATAGGATCTTGCTATGTAGTCCTTAAACTCAATGTATAGTCCAAGCTTTGAACTTGCAGCAATTTTCCTGTCTCAGCCTTCTGAGTGCTGGGGTCATAACTGTGTCACCATGTCCAGCAGAATAAATTTTATTGGTACCAGGAAATGAACTTGGTCTTGTGCTTGCCAGGCAGGCAGTACACCACTGCGCTACATCTCCATCCTTAGGATAAGTGGTTTTTTTTTTGTCTTTTTCATTTTTATCAGTACCGGGGATCGAACTCACGACCGCCTGCTTGCAAGGCAGGTGCTTATGCCACTCAGCTAAACCCCCAGCCCAGGATAAGTGTTTTTGAAACGAGAGGGAGAGAGCATTTTGAGGGAGATTAATGGCAATATGTGTTTTCATGTGATAAAGCTTTTTAAACATTTTTAAAAATTCATATATTTTGATCATCTCATGCCTGCTGTAGAAAGCTTTTATAAAACATAAGTAAAACAAAAGTAAGTAATAATCACCTACTACCTTTTGGAGTGTGTGTGGTGCTAGGAATGGAACCTAGAGATGTTCTACCACTAAACTACATTCCCCAGCTCTTTGTTGTTTATTTATTTATTTAGTACCCCGGGATCAAACTTACAACCTCGAACCTGATAGGCAGGCGCTGTGCTGCTACGCCTGTTATTTATTTTTAATTTTGAAACAGGATCTTGCCAAGTTATTCATGCCAGGCTGAAACTTGTGATTGTCTTGCCTCAGTTTCCTTAGTACTGGGATTATAGGTGTGTGCGACCATACCTGGCTTACCTGTTACTTTAAATGCATATCAATTAAACAGACTAATGGGTTTCTTTTTTTTTAATTTTTAAAAAATTTTATTGGAACATGTTTGCAGTAATACCCATTACTACTTAACCCACAGTGTTTAGTTTGTAGCATTTGTTCCTCTGAAGTGATGGAAGCTTCAAACTGCACTGAGACTTTGTAGTCTCGGGGTGTGTTCTTTTGACTGAAAGTGCTGTGGAGAAAAAGAAAACAGGCCAGGGTGGGGGAGGTTGCTCAGCAATCAGGTTGAGGGAAGAAATCACAGATTTAAAAGGTCAGAAAATGTCTTACTGGGAAGGGATGTGAGGTTGCAAATTAAGGTAGAGCCTGTGGAGAAGAACTTTATAAGCAGAAGAAACAGCAGGTATACAGGTCTTGAGCTCCAAGTGAGATTGACAGGTTGGCTGCAAAAGAACCCCTAAAACATCATGCACTGAAAGGTCAGGCTTTTCAAAATGATTGGATCATACGGTTGCTATAGCCGATTTGCTATGAGGAGGGAGAGGCCTGGTCCAGAGGCAGGTCCCCCCGGGGTGAGGCCTGGAAGGGTGTACTATATCTCCCTTTGGGCTTTGCCCTCTGCTCTCTGCTTCCTGGATGCCTCGAGATAAGTTTCCTCTGTCCAGGCCCTTCTACCATGCTTTGGAACCAGCCAACTGAAAGCTATGAGCCAAAGTAAACCCCTTTCCTCCTCTAAATTATGAGCATCGGATATTGGTTCTCAACAATGAGGAAAGTGACTAAGAATAATAGTACATGCAAATTAAAAGGATAATTCTAGGGTTTCAGGGCTATTCTAGTGAGAGGTCAACGTGATACAGCTGTATCCAGTGGTCCATTCCCAGACTTCATCCTGCTTCAGTTGCCCAGCAGCATGGACCTAGATGGTCACTCTCCCCTTGGAAACAGGACCTCCTCTTGGCTTGATCACATCTACAAAGACTCTGTTTCTAGCCGGGTGTGGTGATGCACACCTGTGATCCTAGCATTCTGAGACACTGAGGCAGGAGGATTGTTAAGTTTGAGTTCAGCCTGGGCAACTTGGTGACTTAGCAAGACACTGTCTCAAATAATTTAAGAAAAAACTGGGAGTATAGCCCAGTGAAAAAGTGCTTGCTGTGTGAATTATGAAATGTGAAGCTCTGGGTTCAATTGTCAGCAGTGAGAAAAATGTAAAATCAAACCCATATATCCAAATGAAGTCATAGATATGGTGGTAGGACTTGGGTATATCTTCCAAGACAGAACCCAGCTAACCACTGAAAGAGATGCTACTGGAATTGAGAACTGGATGAGTCTGTGAGCAGGAGAGGCCAGGGTGTTGAGAAACCCTAGGGTAGTGTGCAAAGCCTAGGGCTGAAGCCAAGATGGCTAGAGCAGAGTCGGGGAGACAACCCACAGGCCCAGACCATGCTAATTTCTCTCAGCCTTCTTTAGGGGCTGGTTTGTCGGCCATCACATGTTTTCCTGGGCTGTGGTAAGCCTCATAATTTGTTGTTTCCTTTCTTGAACAGGAAACTACTTTGCTTCCCACTTTTTCATGGGAGGTGAGAAATTCGACACCCCCCATCCTGAAGGATACCTCTTTGGAGAGAATATGGATCTGAACTTCCTAGGCAGCCGCCCTGTCCAGGTGGGTCTCCATGGAGCTGGCTAATGACTTCGGGATTGGGGGCACCCATGTCCAGTTATAGAGTTACACAGGGACTGAGTTACTCTAAAAAGGGCAGAGCTTTTGGCAGGACTGCAACTGAGCAAAGCTGGACATGGGCACGTGAGTTGGAGTATGTCCTAGTACTGTCAGTAAGAGGTCAGACAGCTGGGACGGGTCATTGAGAGACAGAGCAGCCATTCATGAACTGGTGCCTCCAGGCTACAGAAAGTCACATATTGATTCTAGGCCTCTTAGATTACTTGCTTTAAAAAGCAAAAAGAATATCTACCTCCTATAAAATAGCAGGTATGAGATATGACCCCTGGGAAAATGGAAATGGCTGGCAGATACTTTTCACCATTTGCTAGAGAACTGCAAGAATAGCTATCTGAGCTGGGTGCAGTGGCTCATGCCTGTAATCCCAGCACTCGGGAGGCTGAGTCAGGAGGATCCTTTGGAGACCATCCTAGGCTACAAAGTGAACTCAAGGCCAGCCTGAACTGCATAGAGAGACTCTGTCTCAAAAAGACTAAAAAAAAAAAAAAAAGAATAGGTATCTGTTTTTTCCACATACACTGTGTGCCTAGGACTGTTTAGGGGCTGGCAACAGAAGTCAGACTTTGTCCCTGTCCATGTTTGTCTGTGTGTGTTGCAGACCATAAAGAGGAAAACACTGAATTAGGTGGTAAGGTTGTGGCTGAGCTGAACTGTGGTAGAAGGGAGGAGCCTCTAGGAGGAAGTCAGTGGTGCTAGAGTAGCCTGTGCCAGGTCCCTGGTAGGCTGTGAATCCGAAGGTAAGCAGGGCTCTCCAAGCGGGCTTGAAGGCAGAGCTGGAGGTGAGGGCACAGTCCCCTGTGGGTGAGGTGTTGGGGTATGGATCTGTTCTTCACCACAGGCAGCAGCGAAAGCTTGTCCTACCACTAGGAACAAAGCTTGAGACCCAGCCTTGGCCACTCCCTTAGGGATCTCTCTGGCCTGGCTGAGTTGCCAAGGGTTTTTCATGCAGTTGGGGATAGTGACTTAGGAATCAAATCACTTGGGATGGCACTAGTCCTGCTCCCTCTGCTGCCTCATGACCATTTCAGTGGAAATGAGAGTATTACAAATCCCATGCCCAGTGCCCAGCATTGTCCCTCATGTAGAGACCAGAGCCCAAGCATGCCTATCTTCAGGGATCTGGGACCACTGCTTCTGTGATTCCTGTTTCTTGGTCTCTCCTGGTCCCCAGGCAGTCACATGGGATCACTGTGGGTTTTTTCTTTCTAGTTTCCATATGTCACTCCTGCGCCCCATGAGCCTGTGAAGACATTGAGAAGCCTGGTGAATATCCGCAAAGACTCCCTCCGACTTGTGAGGTAACTCTGTCTTGTCCTGCTGGGCCCCCAGATTGTGGTCCGAGGTGCCTGAGACCTTATAGGGTGCAGAGGCTCCAGCTTGAGCTTGGGAAGTAGAGGGGAATTGAATGGGCTCAGTGTATGCTCTCGTGTGTGGGAACAGAGGCCATAAGCAGGAGCTTGATCCTTCAAGCCAGAGATTCTCATCTGGGAAATTGTGCCTCAGGGACACTGCAGTGTCTGGAGACAACCAGCAGAGGTCAGACAAGCTGCTGAACTACCTGCAGTGCCCAGGACACCACATAGCCAGAAATGATCTAGCTCCAAATGTCAGTAACTTGAGAAACTACTTTAAAATTGTGTAACTGAAGGGATTTCTAAGCTAAGAGGAAGAAAAGGAAGCAGACAATGGATTGTTGGCTTTATGTCCAAACAGAGAGTGGGCCTCTACATTTACTAGGAAAAAAATGTGCCCAAGCAAGTAATTCCTAGACCCGTGGGCTTGCTTTCATGCCGTGACTGCTGACTTTTGCTTCCTCTGCTTCCTTGAGTAGGTACAAAGATGATGCTGACAGCCCCACTGAAGGTGGCGAGAAGCCCCGGGTGCTCTACAGCCTGGAATTCACCTTTGATGCTGATGCCCGAGTGGCCATCACCATCTACTGCCAAGCGGTGGAGGAGTTCCTTAATGGCATGGCAGTGTAAGTCCTTGGTACAGTCAACTGCTCAGGCTCTGGGGCTCAGGCTCCGTTTGTGAGTTTTCTCTATGTTTTTTTGTTGCTGTTGCTTTTATTAAATAGGATCTCCATGGGTTGTTTAGCCAGTCTTGAAGTCACTGAACAAAGGCTGGATTTGAATTTGTGATCCTTCTACCTCAGTCTCCCTAGTGCTACATTTATAGACACCTATCACCATACCTGGCCCATCTGTATTTTTTTGTCTTTTCTGAGACAGGATTTCTCTCTGCAGTTTAGGCTGGCATTGAACTTACTTTGTAGCCCAGACTGGCTTTGAACTTGCAGCAGTCCTCCTGCTTCAGCCTCCCAAGTGCTGGGATTACATATGTATGTCAACATGCCCAGCATATCTATACTATTAAACATAAGAAAAATTTCTTTGTTCCTACTCTGCCCTCAATACTTTTCTTTCTTTCTTTCTGGTACTGGGAATTGAACCCATTCTTACACGTATCAAGCATGTTTTCCCCCACTGTCCTTTGAGTTTGTTTGAGACTTCCTCATGCAAGCCTTATCAATTATTAATACAATCTTTGATCCTGTTTGCTTTCCTGGAGAGAGTGTGGGGCTGAAAGTTCCAAGCTTATGATCATGGCTTGGTCTTTCTGGTGACCTGTTCTCTCTAGGGGCTCGCCAGAATTACTGCCTTAGAAATGAAGTGTTTATATCACCCAGGAAATTGCAAGAGATTGGGATCTTTGTGTGTGGAATTAGGGGCAGAGATCACATATATATTTTTTAAATTATGTCATAGAAATGCAATTGAGCTTTGGCAGAGGTAGTCACAGTGGTGCTTCCTAAGCATTCCACCAGGCGAGTCTGGTGTTCTCTCCAAGGGAGAAGATGTTCCATCCCTCTCCTTTGGATTCAGGCCCTGGGTTCCGTCTTTAGGGCTGTTGCTCAAGAAGAAGCAGGGGCCTTTTTGTAGATTGTCTTCCTTGTGGCTCACAAACACTCAGTACTCAGTTACTTTTTGGGGAAGAGGTAATGGAAAATGAGCCCATGAAGCACAGAGCTACCTCCCATCACTTTTTATTTGTTTATTTTGAGATATGGTCTCTATAAGTTGTCCAAGCTGGCCTTCTTGAACTTGCTGTCATTTTGTCTCAGGTTCCCAAGTAGCTAGGATTACAGGTGTGCGGCACCATGCTCGGGCTACTCTTTAAGGACACAAAGTGATGCACAAGTATGTATCTAATTATAAGCTAATTCAAAGTTTCAGGAATAGAGTGATCAGTGTGAGCCCCTCTGCCCTTGTATTATACCTCATGAACCCTGGGATAAATGTGTTGCCCTGCTTAAGCCTGAGGCAGTATGACTCTCTGATGCCTGCCCTCCTTGGGCCTCCTATGTGGTGCCACACTGTGGTAGTTGGATAGGAGTTCCTATGCTTCTGAAATATTCTTGGGCTCAACCACAAGAAAGGTGCCTCAGATTCTGGGGAGGTGCCTTGGGCCACCCACAGAAGAGGTGAGGGCAGAATCAAGTGGACCTGATGCAGGTGAGTAGCTCACCACCCTCATAATGATCAGCCCATCTAGCTCTACTGCTCTGTGTCCTGCATGAGACGATCACCTGGCCAGCTGTAGCTACCTCTACAGGGTGCTCCAAATACCTGGGGACTGCATGACAGAAATGCCACATTTACTTCTTCTTGAGATGTGGCTTGAGGCCTCTTCTCCTCCCAGCTTGCAGGCTCTAGTAATTCCAGAACCAAAGCAGTAGGGCCAAAAAGCAAGGAGACCTCAACTGGGATGCATGCCTGGAAACATAGACCCTTGCCAACTGGAAACGTTCTGTCCTGAGTTTGGAGGGCAGGTGACTCTCTGGTCCTTCCCTTGCCCCCTTCACATTTGTCCTAGCAAGGAAACAGAGCTCAGACAAAGTGATGTGTTCAGCTGTGAGAGAAGACATGGATCTGCTTAAAAGCATCCCACAGAGCTATGGTGTCTTTCCTGAGCTCCCTTCCAGTGTAATGACAAGGGCAAGGTCTCTCCTCTCTGCACACATGACAGCATCACCCCTTGCCTGCCTAGACTCTGGAGAGTGTCCTTCATCCCAAAAACTGAAAGAAACCCTCAGGCAAGATAGAGGAGGCAGAGGAGGTGCTAAGGATCATGTATTGGATTTCTGAGTGGAGGACACCCGAGTTTATCAGGATTGGAAATGTGGGTATCCTGGAATCCAGGTGTTCTCTGCACGGAGTCCTCTCTAGGGATCCTAATATGTGGGACTGAGATGTGTGCAGCAAGGTGGTTCTTGAAGTGCTTCTGGAAAAAGTAAGAAAGTGGAGACCACTTGGTATCCTCTGGACTCTTGTGGCTCAGAGTAAAATAGTGGTAGAGCTGTGCAGTGGCTCAGGGAACATAGCACCTTCTGTGTGATAGTGGTGGGACAGCGCCAAAAAGGGAAAGATCAGAATGCAAGTGGCTACTACTTAGATGCTGTGTGAGAGTGTGATGTACATTGACAACTCGGGAGCTATTCCAGGGGGGCTGTTCTGGGGCATGGGTGCAGGAAGCAAATGTGATGGGCAGAAAGGAAAGACTGTATACTACGTTCATTCACAAAAAGTGAAAAAAAATCCAGTGGACAGGTGTCCCATGTCTGGAAAGGTAGCAGAGGAATCAGGCAGGTGTGAATTCTGGAAGAAACTGTCACTAGGCCAGGACTATGCAGAGCCACATGGCCAAAGAGAGAAGCCATAGGAGCCCCCTAAGGGAAAGGGCAGCCTAGCCAGTGGGGAGGAAGGCCCAACAGTGGGCAGGCCCCAGCACTACAACAGTCTCACCCATCTCTGCCACCCCTTAGGTACAGCCCCAAGAGTCCAGCCCTGCAGTCGGAGACCATCCACTACAAGCGGGGAGTGAGCCAGCACTTCTCACTGCCTTCCTTCAAGATTGACTTCTCTGAGTGGAAGGACGACGAGGTAGTTCTCGGCAGAAGCCCTCCTCTCCCATGTTCTTTCCCTTGGGAGTGGGCATGGGCTTTTGTGCCTGGTGATGAAGTCCTTCCTGTTGGTGAGTGCTGGGAGTGACTGCCCAGGTGAGAGCAGAGGGACTGAGGTGGCTGATACTGGCTGCCTAGGTTAGTGGGCTGAGCAGGGAGTGACCATCAAGCAGGTTAGGCACTGGCTTTTGGAGAGGTATAAAAATGTGGTCCATGTATAGTCATTGATCCTCAGAGATACGACATTGTGTCCCTGCATTGGCTTCAGCCCCAGCAGACTTTGGAGAGACATGAACACAGGGTCCCTACATTGTTGTCATCAGCCCAGGACAGCAGTATGGCAGTGTCCATTAAAACTGGGTGGCATCCCTTCAACCCTTCTGTTTGTACTTCTTTTCTAAATTATGCTATGGCCAACTTGCTGTCAGCACTTTCCTCCTCTTTAGAGGCCCCTTTGGTGAGTTTCCAGTCTCCCCTCTGCTCCCCTACCTCTTTGCTTCTGCTTATCCCTCCTTTGCCCTTTGCTTTAGTTCCCAGTGTCTGGTTTCTGTCCTTTTGCAGAGGGGAAACTGAGTCTTGAGTCAAGGCTTATTTACACTGAACAAGTGAGGAACCAGACTCTTCCTTGGCAGTCCCAAGTGTGGCTCAATGCAGTACCTCCCACCCCGTGTCTTTCCCTACTGATGTAGAATGGACCCTCGGGTACCTTGCCACCACCATGTACCTAGGTCTCTGGCTGGCCACTGCTGTCCACATGGACATCAGTCTCTGTCTCCTGGACTCCCTGCAGCCTGACTTGTGACCTGCCTTCGGGAGCTTTGTGGAGACAAGTCTGTGTGGACTTGGGTTGCATATCCTCTCATGTGGATGGGGCAGTTGAGCATGGAGCTGGTGGTCTCCAGGTGGCAGGAAGCTCTGCTGTGCCTGTATGCTGGTGGCGCACGGATGGCAGCTGTGAGGCCGGTGTCCTTGTGCTAGGATGGGCAGCTGGACCACTTGCTGATGTGGTGTCATGAAGTGTACCTGCCTCCAAGCAGCCTAGGTGCTGTCATCTTCACTTGGTGCTGTCATCTTCACTTGGGTGGCCTTCCTAGGCTGCAGTTGGACATTTCTGTTACCTCCATGTTCCTTCTGGTCCTTCTTCTCTGACTACTCTAAAGAGTCTGTTTCCAGGGCTTTCTTTTTTGGTACTGGGGATTGAACTCATGATTTTGTGCTTGCCAGGCAGGTGCCTATGCCACTGAGCAAATCCTTGGCACCCCAGTTCTTTCTTTCTCTATTTTCAATGGGAAATCCTATGTTGCCTAATCTTAGGAAAAAACAACTCCCTTGTCTATAAAAGCCCCTTACAGCCAGTGTCTCTGTGTGGACCAGGTGGGAGGACTTCAGTTAAATCTCATTGTTGAAATCCATTTGTAGGGACTGGGGATATAGCTCAGTGGCACAGTACCTGCCTGGCAAGCACAAGGTCCTGAGTTCAAATCTCAGTACTAAAAAAAAAAATGTGGTTGGTATAGTAATGACCCCTTTTTACAAAGTGGAAACTGAGGGTCATTAGATTAAAAATGAGATTCATCCTGGACCACCATTGGGTGTGGACATACTCCCTCGCTCTGCTTCTACTATTCACTTCATGAAGAACAACTGGAGAAGGGAGACAGGCCTGTGTACCCTATGTGACCTACTAATTCACCCTGACCTTCAGGGAAGAATGTCCTGGGCTCCGCTGAGCTGCTGCTACTCCCGTTGAGGCTCTGAACATCTCCATTCACAAGGCAGGTGTTTGTGCTGGCGTAGGGTTCCAGTGTGTCAGCCCAAGGGCAGCTCTGGTGTGACAGCCCTCTGTGCAGGCGATCTTGCGCTCTCTTCCTGTGCAGTCTGGCTAAGCAAGGCAGCTGCTTGAGTATCAGGGGTAGAGGACTGTTTGGCCCCACTACAGGGGCTCCATGGCACTCTTCCTCTTATTTTAATTGGTACATGTTTGTAGGATGTAATGATTATATTCATCATTGGGAACTGGGCAGGTACATAAAGCATCTTAAATCTTTTTTCATCATCTTCCCTGTCTCCTACCTACATTTCTTGGATTTTTTTTTTTTTTTTTTTGTCCTTTTGAGACAGGATCTGGCTATGCAGTTCAGGCTGAACTTGAGCTCACTTTATAGCCCAGGCTGGTCTTGAACTTGGAACGATCCTTCTGCTTCATTCTCCTGAGTACTGAGATTACAGGCATGTGCCAATATGCCCAGGTGGGGCCATTTCATTTTGATGTTTCATCCATTCTCTGTTCTTTCATTTTTATCAGCTTTGTGTGATATAATTCACATGCCATACTGCCCATTCATTCCAAGTATACATATAGGTTGGTGTATTGTAGTACATTAATTGTTGTGCAGCCAGCTTCCTTCCTTTAGTAAATCTTTATTGAGAATAAACAAACAAATGAATGTGTCTGTCAGGCACAGAGGATCATGGCAACCAGGACTTCATCCTCCGCAGCTTCTGTATAGCAAGGAGTCAGGTGGACTGAGGATCACCTGTTAACTTATGACATGAAGATAAGAGCCGGTGTTTACGGGAGCCCCACCTACATATCTGGGTTCAGGAAAGCCTTTCCTGAGGCCCAGGGCAGGAGTTGACAAGCAGGGAACAGGATAAAGACCAGCATCTGCAGGGAATAGATCTCTACCAGTCAGAAGGTTGAGTTTACTGCAATGGGTGAGTTTGGAGCCAGAGCTGAGGCCAAACTGACTTTTTGGGACCTTTTGAGCCAGAAGTAGGTCATCCTTTACCTGAAAATAGCAAGGAAGTTTCTCCTTGCCCTTGGACTCACTGTGTGCTCTCTCCTTTGACTCTGATGAGGGTCCAGTCCGTTGCCTTTCCTTAAAGACTTCAGTGGTTTGATGTGACCCAGCTCTCCAAGGGGAACACCTAAAAGAATGGAAAGCAGAGAAACATGGAAAGCAATGAAACATATTTGTACCTATTGATCTTAGTAGCCCTGTTCATGATTGCAGTGATGTGGAAACAGCCCCAGAGAATGGATAAACAGAATGTGGTCCATCCATACCGTGGAGTATGTGCAACCATGGAAAGGAGTGAAATTCTGATATATACTGCAACATGGATGAATTTTGAAAGCATTGTGCTCACTGAAAGAAGTCAGGCACAAAAGATCAAAACTGCATGATTCCATCTACAGGAAATGTCCAGAATTAGGCACATTCACAAAGACAGGAAAGAATGGTTGCCAGGGCTGGAGGGGAGGAAGTAGGGAGTTATTACCTAATTCATATAGAGTTTCTGTTTTTTAGTAACGAAAAAAATTCATATAGTAGTTACGGCTGCGTGATACTGAATGTCCTTAATGCTATTCTGTCCTATCCTCTGAGCTTTTTCTGATGCCATCCTGCTTACTGGCTTTTCCTCCGTCAGAGTGTTTGATGGTCATGAGACCTCAGCAGTTTTGCCTCCTTTCCTTCTCAGCTGAACTTTGACCTGGATCGGGGCATGTTTCCAGTGGTCATCCAGGCCGTGGTGGATGAGGGAGATGGTGAGCAGTGTTGGCCTTTCCCCTTTCTCTTGCCTTTTGAGTTTCTATGGGCCCTGAAGGGAGGAGGCCATTCCTGGGGTCCTTCCCACCTCAGCCAGCAAAAGGAGTCCCTTCTAGAAGGGATGAAGGGCTGTGGAGTGGTCATATGAGGGCAGCTTGGAGGATGGGGATACCGGGGAGACCAGGGAGCTGTTACAGAGGTGGACAGGATGAGGATGAGCCCTGGAACAAGCTCTGGGTGCTGCCCTCAGATGTGGCTCTGCAAAACCATGCTGGAGGGTAAGGGACACAGGAGGGCCAGGCAGGAAGTGGTGAGTTCGCTTTACCCTGACTGCTCTCTACTCATGGTCTCTGTCCCCTTTCAGTTGTGGAAGTGACTGGCCACGCCCATGTGCTTCTGGCTGCCTTTGAAAAGGTAAGTGTCATCCCAGTCACTGTCCTGGGAGCTGGGACAGAAGGGTCAGTTTTGAGATCAGAATTCTGAGGTGTGGGGATCAAGCCTTGGTATGGGGGTTCAGGTGTCAGTCCTGGGCAGGTGGAAGATTCTCTAGTCATTCCTTGATTCTCAGGAGACAATCCAAGTGCCCCAGAGGGAATTTGGAGTCACAAGGAGAGAACCTTACAGAATGAGGCTAGCCCTGTAGAGCCTTGACAATCTGCTCACACAGGTTAGGCACCATCATGGATGAGGTCTTTTTGCCATAGATTAACATTGCACTCAGGTATGGAAAGTGTCATAGTTTTTACCTCTCCCTGGCATGGCACGCTCAGATATCACCTGGGGTCCTGTCATAGACCCACTTGATGCCCTGTTCCTCACTTGCCTGTGCTCTGCCCCTTCCTCTGCCTGGCTTCAGCACCCTGACCCTACAGGGCCAGGCAGGTTTTGTTCCTGTGGGAGGCCTTTCCTGATCCACTTGACCAAATACTGTCCTTTCTTATTTGATGTGTGTGAGGGCAGAACTGGCCTCTAATTTGTCATAGCTGGGCAAGACACTGGCCAGAAGATGATCAGTGGTGGTGAGGTGAAGAAGGATCTGCTGCCTGCTAGCATGACCCTAGACCTGTGTAGGTCTCTGCTCACTGAGAAGCTTGCTAGAGATAGGGAGTGTGTGATAATGCCCCCGGAACGCACGCTTTGCCCTTTGACTTTTCCTAGTACTCTGCAGTTGTGAAGTGTTTCAGTACCAGGCTGGGGCCCAGGAGACAGGATCTGGTGGGAAATGGGCCCCACCATGGGGCTTTTTACCACATCTGTGGACTCTAGCACTGACACCAGCACCGGCCCTGGCTCTGCAAGCCCCTGCAGCCCCTGAGTGCCTTCCGTGTCGAGTCCAGGGGTTTCTTTAGGGCTGGGTCTGGGGCCCCTTTGACTTGTTTATTCTGTGGTAAGGCTGAGTCTGCTTTCTTGGAATCGAGGCTGTAGGCAGTGCCGATATGAGTCTTCTGCGTAGCACCTGTCCTCCTTTCTCTACAACCCCGGGCTTCCCAACTCTTCTTCTCAGGGCCGATCTGGTTAGAATAGATCAGACAGAATCCAAACTACTGGACCACATAGCTAACTTTATGGAAGTGTGTATGTGCTGTGCCCTATTACTAGATGACTAAAATGAATGCAAATATAAGAGTCCAGCTTTAAGCCTTGGTGAATGCTGTGTGGATCAACACCTACTCTCCTATTAGCATTCGTGTGAACCAGGACAATGATGGTTACGAAATGATGGGAAAAAGAAGGAGAGTTAAAATGATGAATAAGGATGTGCTGCCACCCTCCATAACTAATCAGTTCATCAGTGAACCAGTGACTGCAAACCTAGGAGCACCTGCCTGGGGTTGTGTTGTGTCCTGATGGAGACAAAAAGCCACGTGTAAAATGAATGGTGACTTTAGATACTTGGGAGACATTTGATCTTATTGATTCCAGAACTTCCAGTGCAGATGCAGAAGTTGACAAGGTTAGAGGAGATGGGACCAGTGTGTCCTTTCCACATGTTCTCTGGAATTCCTTCCTAGCTATGATGTGCATGAGGCCACTGGACAAAAAAGGCTTTCAAGGAGAAGCAAGTTCAATACATGGCAGGAAACCTAGAGAAAGACTCACCCAGCCCTCATTTTAACCATACATGGGCAGTAAGGACAGAATAAAAAGTGTTGTTGTAAAACCTGCAGTGCAGAGAAAGAGGACTGTCTTACCACTTTGTACGCACTAGAATAACTTTATCTTCTTGTTCACATGCTACCTGTGAGGGAGTCCTGTCCTACCAAATGCCTTTCTTCAGCACCCTGAAACATTTTAGAATCTCTTATGCAAAATTCCTGAGTCACACTAACCAACAAAAGCCAAGCATTGTGACTCATGGCTTGAGACTGGCCATGAGATGGAAGAAAGCATGGGACTTGGGGAAAAGATTGAGTTTAGCACAAGGGAAGGGAGCTTACAACAGTATTTCAAAGTGAGACTTCTAGTGCACACGCACATGCACACACACACACAGAGTTATGGTAACTATACATTTGCATTTTCTGGCTGATGCAGATGGCATATCTTTGGCAGACATTCCATTCTGTGCTTCCAATTTAGAGCCCAGTGAGAAGCCACTTTATTTTTGTAGTCCTACATTCTAGAAATTTCCCCAGGAATCCACCAGCCTTACCAGACAATCCTGAGCGCTGGTCTTGACTCATAGCATGTAATTAGTATTGTTGCAAGATCTCAGATCTAATCCCATAATTAATCTCATCAAACTCTGAGCTGCGCATTTCCCTGGATAGTGCTGAACACATTTGTTCTATTTTCTTACATTTTTAGCACCCTGAGCTACTGTTTATTCATGGGCGTACATGGATGCTGTCTTGAAGAATGAGAGCAGGAACTTACTTGTGTTAGTTTTTGCATCTTAATGCTGCTTTGGGATGTTAGGAAATCCTGGGTAGTGTTCAGCCTGACTGTGATGTGGGGTGGCACTCTGGGTAGTCTTTGGGTTTGCAGGGCAGGACAGAGCCCAGGAGGTTGTTATTTTTAGAAGGTTCTCCAAGTAGTTTTGGAGCCAGGTCTGAGAGCCATAGTTGGAGGAATCCTGGCCTGGCTCCTTAACCCTCACATTGTCCTTTTTTCAGCCCTAGATATAGACTGGTCAGGGAAGATCTCGTGGCCAAGCAGAAGTGTTTGGAGCTGCCAGCTTGGTCTAAAACTTAACCTCTGTCTCATGTGTCTTTCCCCCACAGCATGTGGACGGCAGCTTCTCTGTGAAGCCTTTAAAGCAGAAGCAGATCGTAAGTGTCAGGCAAAACATCATAACTCCTTTTGACTTAAAAGACAGAAGCACATGGGCACACATGAATCTGTAGACTCTATGGACTGTTCTTCCTTGACCACTGTGCCTGTGCAGGAGCCTGTGACCTTGAGGGGTGCTAAAGAGGCACCCCTCTTTAGCCCTACATTCTGGGATGTCAAGGTGTACATCTTGAGATATGCAGGCATGGGTTGCACACCCACCAGGTATCACAGTCACTCTCGTAGGCTCTGAGCCTCGTCCAGGTTGAAGCATGGTTCCTGGAACAGTTAGTGCTCAGTAAATATTTGCTGGATGGGTAGAAGTGGGAGGAAAGACAAAACAAAAAAAGTGCAGCCTCCTCTATCATGGACTGCTGAAAACAAGACAGTATGTGGCAGACCTAGGTTGACTTTGCCAGTGCCCGAAAAGATGGAAAATCCTAGAATAAATAAGAGCCGTAGACTAGCACAGCTTTTCTTTGAGGTCATTAATTTTATGATTGATACTGGGAAGCCACTCCTGGTGGTCTTCTACTTAAAGCACCGTGAGAATTTAGCAGGGGTGGGATAGAGATATGGGCAGGACTGCTGAACAGAGCAGGTTTCTGTGGTCTTCTCCGGGCATGTGCCCACCATGTGGGAGTGGAGCTCCACTGGCCCACAGGAGACCCTGCCACCCCTGCTCCTGGACTCATTCCATGCATCCTGGAGGTAGTGTAGGCCCAGACAGGTGCAGAGGAGCCCTCAGTGGGAGCTGACAGGGCCTACCACGCCTTTTCTATTCTCCAGGTGGACCGAGTCAGCTACCTACTGCAGGAGATCTATGGCATTGAGAACAAGAACAACCAAGAGACCAAGGTATGTCCTTGTAGGAGCCTACCTGGACTCTAGGCTGACCATCTACTGCAGGTTTCTACTGCCATATGAAAGCCCACTCATGGCTGGGAAAGAACCAGTCCCCTTTCTTTCTTCCTTTGGAGGCCTGGACCCGCAGGTGCCATCATTTTATCTTAATTCAGTTAACAAAGTTTACGAAATATTTTGCCCTTTTTAGTTTGCCGGCTCATTTTGCAATCTTCATCCATGTCCTCCAGGGCAGCCTGGGACCCAGGGACCACACTCCCTCCACTTCTATGTCACCTTGGGTCTTTTCCTTGTGGCCAATAGTTGCCACCACTGCCCTCTGCTGGCCACCTCCTTTCTCCCTGCAGACTGGTGGAAGAACTGGCACAGCCAGGGGAGGTAGCAGAGTGTGAAAGTGGAACTTGATTGACCTCATTGTGTTTGAAGACACACTGTGAATAAAGCTGCCCCTGTTGTTTTAAACCTCTCTGAAAGTCTTCCTCTAGTTGTGGTGAGCAAGTGCTCTGCTCATCCATATGCCTTATAACAGTGCCTGGCTTATTTCTTGTGAAGAACCAGACAGTAAATATTTTTGGCCTTACAAGCCATATGGTTTCTGTGGCATCTGCTCTGAACGGCAGCTATAGACAACATAGGGTCGTGGCTATTTCAGTAAAACTATACTTGGCAACACAGCAGACACAGTTTTCTGATGCCTGTTTAAAACTTTTGCCCTCAGCTATCTGTTGGTTTGCTTTGTGGAAACTTTTATTTAATGGTGATATTTTCAATGAGTTAGGCTTTTTTTTTTTAAATCTGAGTTTACAGGTCCCTTGACTTTTTATTTATTTTTGGGGGGTGGTACTGGGGATTGAACCCAAGACCTTTCCACTGAACTACATTTTCAGCTCTTTATTTCTTACTTTGAGGTAAGATCCTTCTTACAGGATCTTCACAAGTTGCCAGGGTTGAATTCAAATTTAGTCTCGCTGCCTCGCCCTCCCCAAGGGCTGAGATTAGAGGCAAGTGTCATTAAACCCAGCTAAGATAGTCCCTTAGCAGTGCATCTCTTTAGCATTTTCTCTGTGGGCTTAGGAGCAGAAAGGGGCCACATTCTTGTGGAGGAACAGGTTGTCTCCTGTATAAGCCTTGTGCCCAGCATGGTTCTAGCTGTGGCTGTTCAGAAGTGCTGCCTGGCTTTGTCCACCTGTCTGTCTGGGCTCCCCCTTGACATAGCAACCCCCAGGGAGTAGAAATGGTGGTGGCACAGCTGGGCATAGAAAAGCCTGTTCCAGGCAGTGTGACACTCAGCCTTTGACCCTCAGGAGGCCGCTGACCCACAGGCCCTTGTCCCCGCAGCCCTCAGACGATGAGAACAGTGACAATAGCAGCGAGTGTGTGGTGTGTCTGTCAGACCTTCGGGACACGCTGATCCTGCCCTGCCGCCACCTGTGCCTGTGCACCTCCTGTGCTGACACGCTGCGCTACCAGGCCAATAACTGCCCCATCTGCCGGCTACGTGAGTACACGCAGGGCCTATGCCCACCCAACAGTCCTGGTTTCGGTAGTTGTGGGAGCTACAAGTCCTCTTTGGCACCTTTGGTCCTTAAGCAGTGTGATGTTGCCAACAAGCAGGTGATTAACATTTGTGCCACATTTGCCTCGGTGGTATAGGGTGTTCCAGGGTAGGTGTGTATTGTGATCCTCAAACTGGGTGGAAATTGATCAGTGAATAAAATCTTTACTTTAAAGGTTGTATAAAAAAACATTTTGATTAAAAATTAAAGTGAGTTGAAATTAAGCCTCTGTCACTATCTTGGACTCAAAAAACAAGAGACAGAGGTGGTTTTGGTTCATTTGGTTCACTGAAAGCAGTAGTGTGTCATAGTGGTTGTACCAGTGGGAGCCAGGTGGCATGGGAAGGGTGACTTTGTGTGGCCTGCACAGTGCTAGTTCCCTAGGGCTACAGGGCATCCTGGGTGGACAGACGTGGAAGTCAAGGCTGTATGATCTAGGGTCCAGAGTTCAGGAAGAGACCCTAGGCAAGTTAGGACAGGGAGCCTGTGGGTTCTATGATAGTCCTGCCCAGCTTGCTTGAGACCTCACAGTATAAGAGGCAAGGTGGGCACCTAATGAGCTTCTCCTTCCCAGAAAGTAGGCAGTGTTAGGGGCTAAGATGGTCGTGTATGTGGTGTTCACGTGTGGGCTCTTGTACCTGAAGCACTCAAAAGTAGAGGCAGTGGTTCTGTGAGAGTTGTGCCCAGTGGTTGGGTTGGCCTGGAGCCCTCTTTCCTGGAATGCCTCTGTCAGTACTCCTTTGCATCTCCCTGCTGTGTTCTCTGAGAATCTGGCATCCCAGGGATACCTAGTAGCTCAAGGGCTCCCCAGAGCTCCCTGTGGGTCTAAATCTATGAGAGTGCCTGGCAGGACTCATGCTGGAGTTAAGCACTGGTGTTCCTAGCTTTTCCTGGTTCTTAGTGTTCTGGGTGGTCAGAGCCTGATGCAGATTCCCTGGGACCAGGGAGGTCTCAGCTGGAATGGAGCGGGTATGTGGCCTGAGCTGGGTCAGCTGAGCAGGCCTGTGTCCTTGGCCCATCGCTCTCCACTGGACTCCAGATATAGAGCTCTGTGAACACTAGTTCCAGTCTTCAGCCTGTGTCCTTCCTGGGCTGCTCAGTCTCTGAGCGTGGACGATATGGAGATGAGGCTGACTGCTGCAGGATACCGGTGCTGTGGGGTCATGCAGTGAGTTGAAGGTCTCTTGCCACGTGAAGGTTTCTTGCCTGCGTCTAATGTGGGAGAGAGAAGTGGGAGCAATGAGGTGTGGTCAGGAAGCATCTCTGAGGAGCGCCAAGGTAGAAAGGGTGAGAAGGAGGACCTGAGTCACAACTTAGGACAGCGGCTGGGATCCACTGGCCAGTGTGTGGATCTTCAGGTGTGGAGAGGCTCTCTAGTTGGAGTCATCAGAAGAGTTCAGAGTACCATATGATCTTGGGCATGCCGTCAGAGGGCTTCTTCTCCGTGAGATGGGCTGAGGCTCCTTACCACAGGCAGCTGAGGTGCCTTGCCTGGGAGAAAGGTAGTAGTGGGAAGAACTAAGCTGGAAGGGAAGGATGCAGCCCTGCGCCTCAGTGTGGGGGCAGGTTCTTTGTCCTCTTTCTTGTCTTTTTTGGTCTGATTTTGTGACCTGCTTGATGTAGTTGTGTAGCCTGTACTCTTCACATCTTGAGTCTTAGGGATGGGGCACCGAGGACTGTTGGGCCACAGTGGGTGGAACTACCCACAGAAGGATTCTATGACCTAATTTGTCCTCCCTCAGTGTTCCTGGTGTGGGATGCTCCCAGCCACCAATCTGTTCTCTGGGCTCAGTGCTACAGCCCTGGTAGTTAGCCATAGTCACAGTTACCATCTAGCACTCTGGTGCTTGTTGAATAGTTCATGTGCAGCACACTTGCTGTTGTGGCTAGTGTCTCTCTCTGGTTGGTCCCTTGTATCAAAAATCCAGTCAGCCCTTTAGGATCTATTCTGCCCCAACTGGGAACCTGTGTCTTGTGCCAGGATTGCTGCAGGTTAAAAGGGTGTGACCTTGGGCTTAAGGGTCTCTCTAGCTGCTGGAGCTGCCCTTGCTAACCCAAATCCTGCCCTCTGCCACAGCATTCCGGGCCCTCTTGCAGATCCGGGCCGTGCGGAAAAAGCCAGGAGCCCTGTCCCCCATCTCCTTCAGTCCTGTCCTGGCCCAGAGCATGGACCATGAAGAACACTCTGTAAGTGCCTCCCCTGCCTCCTTTCTCTGTCCACTAGGCAGCATGACCCCCACCGGAGCTGTGAGGTGTTAATGGGGGACTAGGCTGGGCCTGTGATGTTGGCTGCTGGGATGATTGTTGGCCCCTGCTAACAGAAGAACCTGCAAGACAGGCCTGGGTTCTTTGCTGAGTTCACATTAGTGTTTGTCACCATCTGCACCAAGCCAGATGAACTAGGTACCCCTATCTCTTAGTAAATGAGATATAAATGAGATATGTTACCTTCCTGATGAATGTGCTCAGCCCGGGCACTCCAGGGCCCTCAAAGGGGCCTCAACACATGGCCTCGCAGCCTCCCTTATGGGACCAGGTGGGTAGACCTTGCTTTAGACAGGCAGTTCCCACTTCATGGACCTGAAAGGGGTTATAAGAGACAAGTGGAGAGACTGTCTTAGGCAGGGAGAGAGAGACCTAAACACATAGAGACAGATGTAAGAGTTGGGGCTGGGGGTAGATAGGAGAGGCTGAGGTGGATGGGGAAAGAATGGTGGGAGTGAGTAGGATGGGGACATCTGGACAGGGTCTGGGCTTTGCTACCTGCATCCTGCTGCCTGTGAACATAGGCAGTGAGGGAGCCCTGTGTGGCTTCACTGAGGTCCTGGGGTCCAGTGGCTTTTAAAGGGCTCCACTTTAAAGAGCACACCCCAAGACAGGCATGCTTTGAATGGTTCAGTTTGTAGGCCTCCTTTATCTGCCTCAGACTCAGGCTGGGTTGCCTGAGCACGCTGGTCATAGGTGTGATGTAATTGTTTACACAGTGTTTCTGATAGTTGTGCAAACATTTAAAAGCCCAGAAACTTCGCTTAAAGTGCAGAGTTTTGGCTTCTCTTCTAAAATCTGAGATAGTGGTGAGGTGTGAAGGTACGTGCCTATAGGATCATGTGAGACTGAGGCTGGCCTAAGTAATTTAGCAAAACTGTCAAAATTGGATAAAAAGGGTTGGAGATGTAGCTCAGAGCAATGGCTTAATTCTTAGGCCTCTCCCCACCCCAGCCTGAGGCTGTGTCCTGCCAGCTTGAGGAGTGGTCCTTATCACATCACTAAAGGCCCCCCCCCCCATGGAGCCAATCTTGCAGTCTTGCTTACTGGGCTCGGTCAGCATAAGGGCACCTAAACTGAGGCCCTCCAGCATATGTAGCATCACACACTTTCACCAACAACACATTTTTTAGTCATAAGAACAACTTCAGTGTAATCTGCTGCTTGAAAGAGAAGTCTAAATTTTTCGTAGGGATCAACTGACCCTCAGTGGTGGTGGGTTTATTGTGGCTTTTTTTTCCTCTCCCTGGTTGAGGGTCAAGCAAGCCTTCTGGTTTATCTCTCTTACTGAAAGTGAACTGAGGAGCCTCCCCCAGTACAGACAATAGAGCCTTGCTGTGTCACCAGCCAAATAGCTCTGTCCTGCCCTGGGAAAACCGTTACCTTCCCAGGACCACTGTCCCTCCTCTTGAGGGATCAGACTGCCCACTAAGGATGTTCTTGTTCTCTGTTGGGCCATTTCCATGGATGCCCATGTTTGAGATACAAGTTTGTCTTTTTCCTTTTTATTGGTACCAGGGATTGAACTCACGACTGCTTGCTTGCAAGGCAGTTGCTTATGCCACTGAGTTAAATCCCCAGCCCCCATGTTTGATATTTTATGCAGGGAGCCATTATGATAATCATGGGGTTGAACACCTGTGTACCCACTCATACCCACCTTGGCCAAGGCCTGCTGCTCTGAGGTGATATGGACCATGGTGCTGGTGGGCACTGGGGATGGGTTGAGTTCCACAGCCTTGCAAGTAGAACAGCCATGTTGCTCCTGGGAGCCAGTGAGATGTGCAGGCAGCCTGCCCAGAACCCTGATTCAGAACCTGAGTTTCATATGGTTCTGAGATCCATATGCATGTGAAGTTTGCAGAGTGCTTGAAGGACAGCAAACCAGAGACCCTGTCCCACTACCCCAGCGCCGTATAGCGGGTAGTTGTTTTAAAACATGATTTTTATCTTGACAGTGTCCCTTTAAAAAATCAAAGTCGCACCCTGCCTCCCTGGCCAGCAAGAAACCTAAAAGGGAAACTGTAAGTGTGCTTGGTCCTACAGCTATTTTTTTTGCCCCGCACCCTTATTTTAAACCAATGACAAGTGTGGGAAGTCATTTTCACTCCAAGCTAATATGTTTGATTAACGCACTCTGTCAAATCCGCTCTTCCCAGTCCCGCCGACCCTGTCCAGGAAGAGAGTTTTGTGGAACAAGCAAAGCTCAAGGTCTGTTGGCAAAAAGCCAGTCCTCTAGGTCCTGCTGCAGGATGACAGTGGCTTCAGGCCATCCCCTATCTCCAGCTTTGCCTTGCCCCTGGCTCCTCCAGTGCCCCTCCAATCCCGTTTCCCTTTTTTTTTTCTTGCTGGCAGTGGAGTGAATGTTGGTGAAACTAATGTTGCTGCTACTTTTGCAAACAGTATACCCTGTGCATGCTCATTGGTCTTGCATCCTCTGCTCTCTGCCCTTTGGATTTTGGCTCTTTGGGTGGAGGACCATAGTTAACTGGCATTTTTCCTGCATCCCAGGGAATAGGTATGGGAACCAGAAAGTAGGTAGTCACGGGACCCAGGCTCTGCCCAGAGTTTCTGCTGGCCTGGTAGACCCAGCTGGAACCCCATGCCTCCTGCTGTAACTTAAAGGGGTAGAAATTGCTAAAGAAACAACCCAGAGCTTTTCCTTTTTAGAAGGGATTCAGAGCTGTTGTTCACTTTTAAATTCTAGGCAGGTAGGAGCAGATGTGGGGTAGATAGAGGTTCAAGATGCACCTCAAGCCCAGTGCCCATCTTTGGTCCCCAGGGATGCTCCTCAATCCCTGTTCCTTCCAGAGCCTCCGTGGGGCAGGGAGGAACTTCATGTAGGGAGCTTTTGTGAGCATTTTTCCCCTTTACCTGGTTTCACAAGAGGAAGATGGGGCCTACACAACCCTCTTCAGGGCCCAGTAGCCTGGCTACTGCTCCCTGGCACCCAAGCCTTCCTCACCCCCCACACTAGCCTTGTCAATTCCATCCATTCCCAAATAAGGCCACAGTGGCTCTTGACCACATTGTAACCCTGCCCTTGGTCCAGGGCACGCATTTGCAACTATTCTCTCGCCTCTGGCATGGCTCTGCTCTCCCTGCTCCTGAGTGTTCCTTTCTGTCACTAACCCCCTTGACTCTCCACTCCCTGTAAGGCAGGAACAGAAAGTCAGGTAGGGGCTGGCTGAGGATGGGTGTGGGGTGGTATCTCTTGAAGATGCCCCTAACCCATCATCCTGGGCATCTGGGGGGTGGGTGCTGGAGCCGATAGATGAGAAGCCTTGATCAGGATGGCTTCAGAGCCAAGATGGCCACCTCCAAGGGAGGAGGACTTTAGGTCCCTGGAAGGTGGAATGGACACACGGGTTGGTCAACAGAGAGGGCCTGGGAGTTAGAAGTTCCCTAGAACCCAAGACCAGTTTTTGGCCACTCTCTCTTCATCTGCTTTGTCCCCCTTGCAGAGCTCTGACAGCATCCCACCTGGCTATGAACCCATCTCTCTGCTTGAAGCACTCAATGGCCTGCGGGCTGTTTCACCGGCCATCCCTTCAGCGCCTCTTTATGAGGAAATAACCTACTCGGGGGTCTCGGAGGGCCTTTCCCAGGCCAGCTGTCCACTTGCTGGAATCGACCAGGTCCTAGAAACCAGCCATCAGAGCAGGCAGCGGAGCAAGTCTCCTGACAGGTGAGGCCCAGAACATGACACCTTACCTTGAGTAAGGTGCAGAGGGTGCAGGGGGTGAGAAGGACAAGGTATATCTGTGGTTTGATGTTATTTCCTAACATTCTTTTTTTGTGTGTGATTCTATCCAGAAAAACTCATAAGACCCAGTAGCAGGTCTGTTTAATGGCAGCAGAGCAGAAGCAGCAGCTTCCTCCCTCACTGTCCTGGTCTCAGACCATACTGGTGGGATGCCTGCTTGCTCTTGGCAGACACAGGGCCTATGCCATGTCTCTTCATGGAGGCCCAGTTGAGCCTCAGGGTTCCAGAAATTTGTGACAGCTCATCACTTATGCATGTCTCACCAAGTGGCCAGTGATATCACTCAAAACTCGGGTCCCAAGGAGGAAGCAGGTGCACACAGTGGCACCTTCTGAGCCTGGGGCATGGTCCTTTCCAGGCTTTGACAAGAGCATCAGTCACAGACATCATGGGCCTCCCAAGGACCACATTCTTAAGCTGGCCAGGGGTTAGTTATGGCTCTTTCAAAGGATTGCAGAGAGTGATTAGCCAGCCTGGTGGGTTGCCTCCCTTGTGGTGGAATGGTGTCTTTGTTTTGTTTTGGTGTTACTGGCAACTGAATCCAGGACCTTTGTACTGAACTATATCCACATCCCCTTCTTTATTTTGAGACAGTGTCTCTGTAGCTAAGTTGCCCAGGCTTAGCAAATTTGCAGTCCTCCTGCCTCAGCCTCCCAGAGTGCTGGGATTACAGTTGTACATCTCCATACCCAACTGTATTTTTTAGTGGAGAATTACAGGAAAGGGTCATGTTTTGTGCCACCACTGTGGTCCTTGCACTGAACCCATGTGGCAGAGTGACTCTGGAGACGCAAAAAGATGTATGACTGACCTTCCTGCTGCTTCCCACCTGTGTCTCCACTGTTGGCGATTTCTCTTTTCTTCTAGAAATGAGAGGATGTTGGATTTGAGCTTGTGTCCCTTAGAGGGCCTCTGTTGGCAGCTCTGAGTTGCTAGTCAGGGCTGCAGTGTCTTAGGTGGCTCCAGTCTCAGGGAATAGCTTTCCTTGGCTCCTGGTGGACAGGTAAAGGTGGGTATGCGTGGGTGGGAGTGGTGCTCCTGGCCTAGCTGTCTTCCACATGCCGTCCCCTTCTATCCCCAGCACCCTGCGGTCCCCGTCATCCCCCATCCACGAGGAGGATGAGGAGAAGCTCTCTGAGGACTTGGAAGCTCCTCTCCCACCAGGTGGCCCGGAGCTGGCCCTGGGGGAGAGCAGCTCCCCAGAGGTGAGACTTAACCCAGGTGAGGCCTGCCCCATGGCTCCCCAGGTGTGTGACCCCAGTCTTAGTGTCCTCATCTGTGGGCTGGGGTGCCATATGGTGGAGTCACGGGAGGGCTGTAGGAGAGCTGGTATGTGAAACTAAGTGCCCAGTAGCATTTTTTTATCCTGTGGTGGTGGCTGCTGCCATTGCCTTTGCTGTCTTAGGAACTTAGCACCAGATGTGCTGAAAAGCTCCAAGTGGTCTTTCCTCTGTCTCCTAGAGTTTCCTAACAGAAGAGGTTGATGAGCCATCGCTGAAGCAAGGTGAGCACCTCGACCCGCAGAGCCTGATTTCAGAGCCTTCCTGGAAGGACCTTCCTCTGGGCAAGCTTTGGACACAGGCCAGGACAGCCCAGCTGCTGCTGGGGTCTCCTGACTACTCCCCCATGTTTCCTAGGAACTACCATTGTGTTTCTGACCTTGGGCCACCAATCCACAGTGTCAGCGGAGGCCTTGTTCACTCGCTGGCCTCCTGTGCCTGGCCAGGATAGGGCAGTTTGAGCAGAGTACAGGGGTGTGTTTGCTGTTTTTGTGAGCTGTCTTGTCATCTCTCTCCTGGCTGAAATGGAAATGAGGATGACATGAGTTTCTTTACCCTTCTGATAGCAAGATGGTATGACCTGGGCCCCAGTGGCGATGGCCTGCCCATCCCAGAAGGCTGTGGTGTGTGGCGAGGTGCCTCCCCAAGCCTCCTTCCCCCACCTCAGTGCTTCCTCCCCAGTATCCTTGCTGGACAGTTGAGGAAAGAAGGTTCAAAGCTGGCATCAAGGGGAAGCCTGGAGCCACCTAAAGAAGGTGACAGAGTCATGATTTGGTTCCAGCTTGGGGCAAACCAGTAGGATGGTAAAGGCCCCAAAATAAGCAACTTTGGGGGCCAGTAATTTAGCTCAGTGGCGTAAGCACCTGCCTGGCAAGCACAAAGTTGTGAGCCTGGTACCCCCTTCCCCCCAAAAGAAAAGTTCTCTGTTGTGGGAACCACATCCCTCCCAGGAGCTGCTGCTCCTCTGCTGAGCAGGCCGTTGGGCCAGGGTCTTCAGATACAGGGGGACCTGGACCCTGGGCATGGCTGTCTCTTGGAAATGGTGCTGTACTCCCTTTCTAGATCTTACCTCTCAAGTTTCTGTTTTGGGAGCTGTCTCTGAGTGGAGAATTCAGAGTCATGTCCCAGGTGGTGTGACCTTGGCAGTGGGACACTCAGTGAGTCCTTCTGCCTCTGCACGCCTCAACTTTCTGACTTTGAACTTGAACCCTTTCTCCACTATCTGAGCAGCAGCACTGCAGGGACGGGGCCCTGGCTTGCTTGGGCCATTCTTCTTTCAGAAGACACCGTCAACAGCACTGGGAAGTGCAGGTCCCAAGCTGAGGAGTGTGTGTGGGTAGAACCAGGCTTCATAACCTACCGTGCAGGACAGCAGGGCCACAGGCCAGGTAGGGATGAGCAGGAACAGTGATGGTTTTGTAATACAAACAGAAAAAGCGCACACTCCGGGGAGAGGAGGAGAGAGAAAAGGAAGTGTCCACCTTTGGGACCACTAGAGTACTGGTGGAATCAGAGTGGAGTCAGGTTGGGGCCCAGCACCTCTCAACCACAGAGACCTGGCAGGACCTACTCCTGCTGGTTGGTCCTGACCTTGCTCCCCTCCCCCACCTGCTGCAGGGAGCCAAGTGGCATCCATCGAGGAGGTCCTGCAGGATGGCAGCCCCGAGCACCAAGGTTGTGCCCAGTCAGGTCCTCCTGCTGACATCTACCTGCCAGGTAATGGCATGAGGGCGCCACCTAGGCCTAAGAATGGGTCTTGCTCTGATGTCTTGTGAGTGACAAAAAGGACTGCTCCTCAGGAGCTCAGTTTCTATCCCTGGCTGTTAGTAGTGTTACTGTATTCCTGCCAACCCCAAAGCAAGACTTGGGCCAGGCCCAGATCTGCTTGGTGTACTCCTGTAGGCTCTGGCTCTCTGGAGCAGAATCCCTGCCGCAGGCTCCTTCCTGCACTGTGTTTGGCATTGGGAAGGAAGAAGAAGCTACGTGCAGAAGGACCTGGCTGTGTGTGTCTCCCCACACACATACCTTCTGGAACCCAGATGGGCCAGTTTGGTCCCTACTGGGATTGCTGTCTTTCATCCCTGGTCCTTACCAAGAGCATAACTGCCCCCAGAGCTGTAAACTAAAAGCAGAGGCCCAAGGTTGTGCTGGGTGCCCCAGGGTCTGGCTTTTAAAGCCAAAAGTAGTACCCTGTCCACAGCATGTATCCTCCACATGCCTTTCCCAGGCTGGCAGCTGAGTGGGGGTAGGGAGGACTGCTGTGTCCCTGTTCATGGAAGTCTGGCTGAGGTGCAGTTTGCAGCTCTTCCTTGGTGGTAGCAGATGTGTGCACATTCTGTTTCTAGAGCTCCTCCTCATCCTGATGTCAGTGCCTTTGCTGGGGAGTACTCTGTGTCCTGCTCTCTCAGTGTAGAGGAATAAGCTGGTATGGGACACTTCTGCCTATTCTGCCAGGCAGCCTTGGGGGGATCCCTCTTGCCCCCCTGCAAGGCTTCCCTTGGCTTTCCATCTTCATCTACCTCCATGGCTTCCAGGGCCTCCCACAGCTGCTGAACCTTTGCCCCTGAAAAGTGGCTTTCAGCGGGCCTGGCTTGAGGAACTGGAGGATTTTCCCCTAGACTAGGCAGCCTGATGTGGCTGTCCCCAAGAGTCAGAGGCTGGAGGATCAGGGAGCCTCAGGAAGATACCGGGTAGTATCACAGGGGGCATCTCATAAGATTGAATCCCAGTGGTCCCATAGTAGACATGGGGGGTCTAGCAGATTCCCTACTCTCTGCTCATGACTTTAAGCAGCAATTGAAATACACCTCAACTGAGTGAGGTCCTGAGTCTTCAGTGTTCTAGCATAGGCCTTATAAGGGGCGTGGAAATAATAGTCCAAGAATGAGCACAGCAGGCCTCTGAGGGAGGTGGGCAGGCTGCTGAAGCCCTCTGTCGTGGAGAAGCTGCTCACTGGGGTAGCTCTGACTACTGGCTTGTTCTCACACAAACTGATCTCTGTTCTGTCCTGCAGATTGGCTAGTTGGGTATAGCCTAGGTCAGTGGTGGCGAGCCTATGGCATGAATGCCACAGTGTGCTATTTGTATCATTGAAAATTAAACGGCTCGCCATCACTGGCCTAGGTGGTGAAGCTCATGGCAGCATAGATCTGACCTGGGGCTGCCTGGCTGAGGGAGGGACCAGCAGGTAATGGTGCCTGTAGCTTCTCTGCCAGGCTTATAGAGGTGATCCGTCCCAAGGACATGGACCTCACTTGCCCTCGGTGTGATTCTAAGAGCAAGTCTACTGTTCGTGCCAGCCAGTCAGTGTGGGTACTGGGTGGCCCTGCCTGTCTTGAGGCTCTGAGTTGATAGAAGGTGAGGAAGGTACCAGCTGAGCATGACCCTCCCTGTGCTCCCACCCACAGGATGGTCCACATCCATGGAGACGCCCCACAGCCTCAGCACCACCGGACCCCCTTGGCCTCCACATGGTGGCGCCAGTCCTGACCCTGGGACCTCTGACCTGACCCCACTCTGAGAGCCTGGTCCCGCTAGCAGCATGGAGCCCTCTGCCCCCCAGACTCTACTGAGGGACTGCCCTGGACCTCAGTGTGACCCCAACCTCTCCTGTCTGCACGCCCTGTGTGGTACCAGCCTCTGAGGGGTCAGGTGACCCTTGATCAAAGAGCACAGTGGATTGTCCACTCTACACACCTTCTTTTTCTATGGTTGATATGTTTGTAAATGGTACAAGATGAAGGACAGCAGCTCTTAATCCTGGGCTCTGGGCCCTGTTCCCCAAATGCCAGTGTCAACACTCAGAAACTGGCAGAAGAGGAGTTATTGATGGATGATGTGCTGTTGTCACAGACGTTCAAGATGGGGGAGGAGGGCCCAAGTCACAGTCAATGAAGGAAACAGTGCCTGTCTGCCCATCCCACTTCCTGCTCCTTGTGGCAGACTGGCCCTTGCTGCTTTTTCACCCTAGTGTTGTGGCCATGGGTGGCCTTTCCTGGTGCCTGAGGGCCCACCTCTGCTCTATGCTCTGGGCCCCTTAGTACCCAGGTATCTGCCCCAGCGCACGCCCTTTCCCTGACAACCCATCTGTAGCCATCGGTTCCCGGTGGCCTAATACCCATGTCCTGTGCTTTCTCACAGGCACTGCTTTGCTCCCTCTCTAGATGCCTCCACAGTGGTGCCGTTTCTCCTCAGCTGCTGCTGCCAGGCTATGTGCAGCAGCTTCTTTGGTTCCCCTGTTGCCTTTTCTGTGTCCCTTTGCTTTTCTCTTGCTTCATCTGAATGGGGGCAGAGTCACAGCTGTGATGGTGTACTTCTAATGCAGCCTTAGAGAGAAGCACAGGGGCTCCAGATGCTTGTGCCTTCACAGCCTCGAGTCTGTGCTGTGTGCAGCCTGGCCAGGGAGGATAGAGGGTCCCTGACTTGTGGGAGAATGGCTGAGAGGGAGGGCCTGCCCTGGAACTCAGTGAGTGTTGCTTGAGCCCCAGCTTTGCCCAGTGGCACACTAGAGAACCCAGTGGTGGCCACGTTGTTTTGCTTGTGTGCAGAGCACAGTCCGCATACCCTGCTTCCCCTGCCTGCCCTAGGTTCACACATGAACACCCCTCTCCTGGACGGTGTCGGTGGCAGCACTTTGAAGGATGAGATGCAGATTAGTCTGTCTCTGTCTTGGACTCACCATGCTATCATTTGATGTACTCTGACTGGCTAGTCGTTTGTTTGTTTTTACTGTATATTTATAGTAATAAAATTACGCAGCAATATCCTGTCTGAGGCAGTGACTATTTCTTGGTGCACAGGCAAAATGTTGAGTGGTGGTTCCTGATAACTTGTGGCCTCATGTAAGATGGCAGTGACAGCATCAATCTCCCACACTGGTGAGGATTTCTCACCATTGTTATCTTTGTCATTGCTCTGGTTGGTGTAAAGCCAGACTTGAGCTGCCTCAGACTCCTGAGTGAGAGCTGGGGAGATGGCTGTCAGGAATGTGCCTTGCTATATGACATCCATCTCATATTCCTGCCACCAGTGTTTCCTAAGCACCAGTCTTGTGCTAAGGGGCAAAACAGACAAGGTTTAGGCTACTGGTATTTGCATTGGAGTCACTGAGACACACTGATTATCTTTTAGGTAAGATTAGAGGTAGTGATGGGATGAAGTCATATGAGAGACTTAATTTAACCAGGTGATCAAGCAGACTTTCTTGAGCCCTGAAATATGAGTGCTTCAAGCAGCTAGCACAGCAGGTGCAAAGGCCATGTGGCAGGAGTGGACTTGGTGTGCCCCTAGTGGAGAGAAACCCAGTGGCTAGATAATAGGAGCAAGTGGCATTGGGGACCAATACCAATGACCTTAGAGAATGGTGGAGTCTTTTTTGTTTATAAGGGATAGTCAGTTTTAAAAACAACTAGGGTTTTGGAGACAGAGTTCTTGCTATGTAGTCCAGGCCAGCCTTGAGCTTAATCCTTGTGCCTCAGCCTCCTGTGTGCTGGGGATAAAGGCATGCACCATCACACACTGCTGAGTCTAGTCAGGTTCTTTTTTTTGTTGAGACAGGGTCTCGCTGTGTATTCTAGCCCAGCTTTGAACTTGCAATCCTCTTACCTCAGCTTCCTGAGTGCTGGGATCACAGATAGTTCTCATGACACCTGGCTTCAGTCAGATTTTTAAGGCAGGGAGCAATACCCTGTGGCTGTGGTGGTGGGGATGGCTTGGAGTAACAGGTTTGGTTGTATCAAGATGATATGTTTGGAGGCTGGAGCCCATGCAGTTTAGCGTGCTCCCCTGCCTGGCACATCTCAGTAGGAACTGTGCAGTGTACCAGGTTACCGACTACCACACTGGGCCCACAGCAACCTGGTAAACAGTTGAAGCTGCCTCCATGGTCCCTTTCTGACTGAAACCTTTAACAGCAGAGGAAACCAGTGTTCTGGGCCCACTCCTGCCCCAGGAATGCTTGCCACCCTTCACCCTGCAGCTGTTCTGGAACACCTGGGCCTTGCACAGACCCAGTCCCTTGATTAACGTCTGGTGTTGGGGAGGTGTGAGGGCACAGGAACTTGTTGTGACCTGGTCTCACGTGAAGCTTGAATGCCCTGTCCCCTTCAGACATAGTCACATCCTTAGAACCTAGACTTCCCCCTGTAGCTGCCCCTTGAAGCCTTCATTGGTTGGCCACAGCAGGGGAGAGAGGCTTCTTGTCTGAGTCCTATCCCCCTGGCCACCTGATGCCACCAGAGCCCTGAGTTCCCAGCAGATTCTGCCAGTGCTGTCCCACTTCTCATCCTTTCAGCCCCACTGAGAGCAACACTCCCTGTACTACCTACCCAGGAAGCCCTGACTGTACAGCTCCCCTTGGCTGTGGCTCAGTGCAGATGAGGAGGGCTCCTCAACAAAGCCATGGGCATTGTGGGGTGGGAAGTAGCACGTGGGCCCTGCTGATGGTGAGGCAAGCCTCATCACTGTGAGGGCCATGGGTCCGCATCCTCCTTTGAATGGCTTTTTCCCAATGATTCTGAGGCTCAAGGACTTTTACAGCAGCAACACAAGGTAAGTACTAAAGGTCCTTCTTCCCCCTGGAATCCTGTTACCAGCTGCTGGGTGCCTTCAGTAAGTCAGCCTGGAGAACACTTGGAGCACTGGGGTGGCAAGTCTCCAGGCCCCAGATTCAAGTCCATGTCCAGGGAGCCCCAACTCCTTGCCAGGCACCCCATCTACCAGCGCTGACATGTGCTCAGGCACTGGGGAGTGGTGGGGGAGCTCTGCCAGATCCTGCGGTACGGGAAGAGGGAGCTGCCCAGGAGAGATCCAGAGCTGAGGAGCGAGCTCTGGATCTAAAGGATTCCGGGGAACAGCATCGTTAGGTCTAGCGGCCGCCCAGAGGTCACCATCACGTGTGTGTGGACCCGCGCGGGCAGGGTATCGTCCTAGGGCAAAATTCGCACTGTGAGGGTGAAGAAACCGTTAGGAATCTCAACTGTCCTCTTTAAGTGCAGCTAACCCAGATCCAGCTTGCCTGGACTATCCTAGGGCGCCAGGCACGGGCCCCACAGTCGGGGGGAACTCCACTCACCGCGTTGTACCTTGGGAGACGTAGTTTTCTTGGGCGCTGTGTAATGCCTACTTTGCACGCTACCTTACTCCGCCTTTCAACCAGGTATTAGGGTCCCACAGGGCCAGTTCCGGGCTGCATCAACGATTGGTGGAGAGAGCGCGTGTGTGGCTACTTGGATTGGCGGGGCGCGGGGGGCGGGGCCGCGCATGCACGTAAAGGCGGTGACTGGGAGAGGCGCGGAGTGTCAAGATGTCGTCGGTTCCGGAGCTGAAGCGCATCAGCCGGGAAGAAGCGATGCGCCTGGGGCCGGGCTGGAGCCACTCATGCCACGCCATGCTGTACGCTGCCAACCCTGGGCAGCTGTTCGGCCGCATCCCCATGCGTTTCTCGCTGTTGGTGAGGCCGCGGGCCGGCATGGGCACGGGTAGGGCACTGCACAGCCTCTGCGCCCGTGACCCACGCTCCCCTTGCAGATGCAGATGCGCTTCGATGGGCTGCTGGGCTTTCCCGGGGGCTTCGTGGATCGACGCTTCTGGTCGCTGGAGGACGGACTGAACCGGGTCCTGGGCCTGGGCCTGGGCCTGGGCCGCCTGCGCCTCACCGAGGCCGACTACCTGAGCTCGCACCTGACAGAGGGCCCGCACCGCGAGGTGGCGCATCTGTACGCTCGGCAGCTGACGCTGGAACAGCTGCACGCAGTGGAGATCAGCGCGGTGCACTCGCGCGACCACGGCTTGGAGGTGGGGCCGCCGCCTGGGCTCCACGCCCCGCTCCCGCCCCCGCCCCGGGGTTTGGTTCTGGCCCCGCTGAACGCGCAGATGGGTAACACGTCCTCCCAGGGGTATTCTGGCCTTGTGGGATGGGGCTGGGGCTCTGCAGGGCTGTGTTCCATCCGCCTTGCTGCCTGCTTTGCCAGTCCTGGGAATGGGGCGTGGTGAGTGGGATCAGGAGGATGGGACCGGGAGATGGGAGACTGATGAAAAGGAGTCCGAAATCTCTCGGGAGTTGAAGGTTTAGTTCCGGAAGGGTTTGCAGACTCAGGATGTGGGTGGGACGAGCGGCCCAAGCGGCTTCCTGCTGGTGGACAGGCGCAAAGTGAGGTGTGCATGGGGTTAGGCCTAGACACTTAACTGCATTGCACTTGGCAAGATTGGCTGCATTGCACTTGACAAGATTGATATGCTTCTCCAGCCTCAGTGAGGAGTGCCTGGCTTCAGCTCTGGCTTCCTGCCGTGCAGGTGCTGGGCCTTGTACGAGTCCCTCTCTACACCCAGAAGGATCGAGTCGGAGGCTTTCCCAACTTCCTGAGCAACGCCTTTGTCAGCACCGCCAAGTGCCAGCTCCTCTTTGCCCTCAAGGTACTCAACATAATGCCCCAGGAGAAGCTGGCTGAGGCACTCACTGCAGCCACTGAAAAGCAGAAGAAGGCCCTGGAGAAGCTGCTCCCTGCTTCCTCCTAAGGGGGCCCTTTGGGGAGCTGGCTGTCACCCTCCCTACCTGGGTCTGTCCTCAGGAACCCTGGAATTCCCGGGGAGTTTGTGTTTGCACCCTCTTTGGTGACTGCATGGGATGAGTGGGCAGTTGCTTATCTCCATTGCTGGAAGCAATCCATAGGACCTGGCTCCCATCTCAGGTTGGTTGGTGGGTGGCCTGGGCCTAATTCAGGCTCAGACCTGATTCTGTGAATTTCACTGTGGACTAGTGGAGGCCCTAGATCACAGCACAGCTCTAGAACCATTCAGGAAAATTTGTTCTGGTGGAGGTGGCCTTTGTCACTTCGGACTTGTTCCTGCCTCTTTCCAGGAGTCAACCCCAGGACCCGGAGGAGAGTCAGCTTTGTGTAGGGTATTGTTCTCAATAATTCTGGTTATTTGACTTTTGTTTTTTCACAGTATAAACTTTGAGAGGCTTAAAGTGACTGCCCACTGTGGCTTGGTTTGACAGTGAGGCTCTTGAGGGGACCCAGCTGTGCATGCTGTTGAAGGAGAAAGTAAATAAAAGTTGCTCCTCTTGTGGTAGGCATTCACATCTGGACTGAGGCCCAGCACTGCTTGGGAGGTGCCTCCTCTGCCCCCTTGCTTCCTGCTTCTCTTGAATGTGGAGACCAGGCCCAATGGAGGCTGAGTCCCCAGGGCTGGGGAATTGCCAGCCTCTCATCACCTTGTCCTGAGCATCAGGCTCCCTTTCCTGATCTGCTGGCTCCAGCTGCAGTAGTTGAGCCTGCCTTTCCATTCTCAGCAGAGTCTGCAGGTAGACTACGGCATGGTCTAAAAATAGTCTTAAGTGTGCAGAGGGGACAACACCAGAGTCACTGTGTGACACAAAGTCCACCGCTAAAGTCTATCACTTAAGTCCTCTTCTGGGATCTCATCTCAAGACTTCCAGCATGCAGGAGAGGGTCACGGCAGGAGGGGTTGCAAAGTAGGGCAAGCTCTGGAGTCCAGGAACCAGTATTATCCACCCACTGCCCTGAGCCACTGAGTTAGGATCCTGGCATGGCTTTCCCATGAACTGTGGGCATGATCAATATGACATGTCAAACAACTAGAATTTGCTGATGTTAAATTTTATTTTCCAAAACAAATGGCACAATTTCTAAATGGTCCTGGTCCTTCCCTATAAGGTCAAACTTAAGTGTGTATCTGCATTTAGGGGGACGTATACGTACTTCCCACGCCTTGTCTGGTCTGAGTCAAGCATTCCACAAGCTCAGAGTCTTGACCATCAGAGCCACATCCTATTCCACTGCTGACTTTACTGCCCGGGCAGGGGCCAGTCCCTCTCCTGCTGCTCCACAGGCTGCTCCCTCGGGGCCTGATCCTTAGCCCTATCTGGGGCCTGGGCTGTGGCAGCTGCCTGCTTACTGTCATCCATCTTCTGGCAAGTAGCTTCAGGGTGGATCGATCACCCAACGTCAGATTCTGAAAAAGATAAGGCCCTGGTGAGAAAAGAAGACCAAAGCAGGTCCAGAGGGTACTCACATGTGCAGCTGCCCAGAGCAGGCCCTAGGCTGGTGGCCACTCACCATCTCTCCTGGCTAGGGCTCTCTCCACTTCTTCCCATTCAGCACCTGCAGTTTCTCCAGGCTCTGTGTCACTGAGCTCAGTGCTTGCCCTGGAGACATAGAGGGACAGTGTTCTATTTCCACGGCAAGTCTGGGTGGCAGTGAGGGGTGGTGGGGCTAGTGTAGGGCATCAGGATTGGATGACCTTGAACCTCTTGTCAGGCTCAGGCTGGGGTGAGGATGCCCAGGAGGGAAAAGCTTGCCCCACAGTGCTCATGACCCCAGCCACAGGACAGCCTTGCCATGAAAAGGATTAAAACCTGTTTTCCCTGGCAATCGGGGGGTGGGGGTGGGGGTGGGGTGTCCTTCCTACCACAGCCTGGTCCCTGAGTGGGGACAAGGCCTTGCTGCCCTCCTGGAAGTCTCACCCATCTCATGGACTCGGTCTTCCAGGACTCCAGACAGTTCCAAGAGGCTCATGGCCTGCAGGGATGTATGCCAGCTTTTAGAGTCTGTAGGGCAGAAGATAGGGTTGGCCTGAGTGACCCACACACACTCTGCCTCTTATCCTGAGCCTCTGGGACCAGGACATTCTTCCCACTTAACTGTGGGATATGAGTGACCTCCAAAGGCCTTGCAAGGCAGGGGTGCTGTGTAACTCTTCCCTACTTGAAGTCTGAAATAGACCTATGCAAGTATGTGTTCTGTCTTGCACTGAATGCCAACCAGGCTCAGACCCAAGAGAGTGAGGTTCCCTGGGCCCCAACTGGAGAGCAGTCACTGGATGTCTCAGATAGCAGGGCCTTTCTCTCTGCCATACCTCCCACCGTGGGGTACAGTGCATCTTCTCTCACAGGTGAGGAAGTGGGCTTAATCTCCTGAGTCCCTTGGGCATTAGGGAGAGTGAGGTAACAATCACAGAGCCAGATAGAACCCCTCTTCCCCTGCAGAACCAGACTGCAGCTATCCTTACCTGCTGGGAGTAGAGCTGGGCCCATAGCAGTTGTGCTGGGAAACTGGTCCTGCCTCATGCGGGCAGACAGCTCAACTTGACAGGCTCTGCCAAACAAAAGATCAAGTGCCAGTGAGGCAAAAACCTTTCTGCCCACCAGAACTCCCAAAGGCAAAGGACAGTGTTCCTGTCACTGCATCTGGCCTCCACAGGCCTGGCAGACACTCCAGGAAGCTGTCTGGGTATGCAGAAGACAAACCCGTATGGAGCCCACAACCCTCTGCTGCTGGGTCTGTCCTGAAAAATGGTAGGGGGCACTGAAGACACACGAGGGAAGACGGCTGGTGCCAGGTACAGCAAAAGCTAGCACTCTGCCGCGCAGCTCCAAGGCTCTGCATCTGCTCACCTTAGCTGCTCCAGGATGAGAGCAGCATCCTGGACCAGGGCGCAGGTCTCCTGCAGCTGGGTGTGCACATCCTTGCGGGCTCCTTCCTGCTCCAGCAGGCAGCTCTCCACCACAGCCCGAAGCTCCTGTTCCTGGGACACCTGGCCACGCATGGCCTCTACCTCCTCACAGCGCTGCAGGGTAAAGGGCCAGACTGGGTGTAGGCTGAGGCCCTGGTGGCTTGTACTAGGTCTTCCCCACAGGGACCCTGAGTCTGCCATTCTGTCCATGATCCCATCCCCATCTTTGTCCTCAGAACCTGCCTCTGAGGTGTGCTTCCTCGATTCCATCCCATAGTCCCTGTTACTCTGGCCCCTGCCTTCAGTGGCTCCCCCGTCCTCCACCTCTCTCTGTGTGACAGTGTCCCGCTGTGTGTCTGAGAGCTTCCCTTACTGGCTCCAGGTGTGGCTCCTATTCCCCAACCACAGGGCCCCTCAGCATGCTCACTACCCCCACTTGCTTTGTGCAGCTGGATGGCAAGTTCCTGCATCTCAGCCTCCAACCGGTCAGCATAGGCCAGTTCTAGTGCATCGCTGGGAGGGCGGGCACTACTGTGCCAGCGTGCAATGGCTGAGGTCATCTTCCTTTTGGGCCCAAACAACCTGAAGGGACAATCAGAGAAGGATGTACATCTGCCACACACATGGCACTTCCATAGCTCGCCCAGTCACACCCTAGGGAACGGCCACCTATAAGGGTAGGGTTGGATTCTGAGGCAGAGGGCAGACGCCGCTGCCAAAAGCCTGCCCTGCTGTTTCACTCCCCTGTGCCTCCTGCTGTAGGCAATGGCCAAGTCTGCCTACTCCTAAGGTCCTCAAAGGGGAAGCTCACTGGCACTGTCACCCCACCTATACAAGTATTACTTGCAGAAATGGGAATCTTGGCGCTTGGGAGTCTACTGAAGGTTTGGAGGGTAAGTACCATTTGTTTAGGTTAAGTTTAGCTCTACAGGCATGGTGGCACACAAATTAATCTTAGTTACTCAGGAGACTGAAGCAAGAGGAGGGTGATGAATTTGAAGCCAGCCAGTGGAACTTAGGGAGAGCCTGTCTCAAAATTAAAAGACCAGACATATTGCTCAGAGTGATTGCCAAATGTGTATAAGGCCTTGGGTTCCATCCCCATTTGCAAAAAAAAAGAAAAAAAATAGACTCAAAGACAGATATAAGCAGGCAAAAGAATAAACCCATAAATTTGAAGACAACAGAAACCTGAGTTGTGAAGAAAAAGAAAAATGCACAGAGCTTAAGGGACACTTGGGGGTATGCTGATGTATATATCAGAAATTCCAGCAGAAAAAGTAGGGAAGATTTTATATGAACTCAGAGTAATACTGAGACACACTAGAATCGAAGTTTCAAAAGATACTTTTGGAAGCAGCTCATACACAAAGGTTCTTCATAAAATTCCCAGACTTCTCATAAGAAACTTTGCATACCGGAAGGCAATGTGCTAATGCAGTCAAAGTGCTAAAGGGAAAATTCATCAACCAAGAATCCTTCCTCCAGCCAAACTTTCCTTCCAATGAGAGGGAGAATCAAGACATTCTCAGACAAGCAAAAGCCCATGGACAAGCAACCACCAGGCCTTCCCTGCAAGAAGTGCTCATGGAAGTCCTGCAGGGACAGGAAAGGATCCATGAAGTAACGAGCCTTGTGAGGAAATGCAGAGCTCGTGTGCAGGGCACTGCTGCCCAGTTACAGTAAGAAATGTGAGGGTGCTTGGAGGCATGCCTGGGTCACAAGGAAGCAGGATAAATGGTACTAACTTTGACGGTGTCCATTCAGGATAGAAGTTTAACTTACTTGGATTTTATGCTAAAACATAAAACACATGCTCTTGAAACCTTGGATATAAATTATACTGATACCACTATAAGTAGAGATTGTTACTAAATTCTAGTTTCTCCAGTAAAACTGATAACTACCATCTGTTATGTTCTAATCATGAATAAAATCTTAAATAAAAACCACCCTAAAATAAACTGGCAGAAACATCCAAGAGCCCTGAACATGGTAGTGTGAGCCAGGCCATCATAGGATCCTTTATCTGACCTTAGAGCAAAAGGGACAACACAACAAAGCTTTCACACAGCTGGGGCTGCTCTTACTACCTGTTGCAAATGAGGTGTGTAGTGGAAGTGAGGGTGTAAGGACTCACGTGATGCCGATTTCCTTCAGGTCACTCTCAGTGAGGGTCAGGAAGATGCGGAGGTCCACATCCTGCTCCTCAAACACCTGCAGGTACTTCAGACACCCAATTTGCTCCAGCAGTGTGGCAAGGTCCTAAAATGTAATGACAAGCAGGAGCAGGAGGACCACGGGGGTGAGAACAGTTTTTCTGACACTGATTTCCCAAGCTCAGCTCCAAGATGAGAAGTTGTCTTGGAGGGGAGACCCTACACCTCTCCCTGGACACACAGAGGGAGCCCAGCTATGCAGCACATGTTCTTAGACATGCAATGATCCTCCTTTTGGATGCTCAAAATCTTGGTGCTAGAAGAGATGTTAGGAAGTAGTTAATCTTACTAAAAATCCTGTGATAAGTCATTTTCCCCTCTTGTTCAAGAATTCTTTGTAGCCGATGGCTTGGTTTCTATGTCTCTGTTTATTTCCTTGCATTTGT